CCACCCCCAATGCGATCAATTCTACTCTATTAGTAGATTTGAAAGGAATACCAGCAAGATATGGACATCTGCGCTTGCCATCGACCAGTTTTGAGTTGAGCCAATACTACTTGTGCTAAGAGTGGAAATTTTAGGATTTGAATCCAGCTAGGAGTCAAGGTTTAAATAGTTTGCAGAACGTGTAAATAAATGCCTCAAACGTCCAGGAAAAATGCACCGAGGGAAAGTGCTTATACTCGACAATGCTCGACATACCATGCAAGAAACATGCTTGGCGTTACCATGGCTTCCATTCAATCGGAATGCATGGGGGAATCTACAGAGTCAGAATGCATAGGATCAGTCGATGCACCAGCCTGTTAAAATTCTTAAGCTCACTTCACGCTTGTGAGGCAATGACATGAAATCCCTTTGATCGGCTCACCTAAGATGCTAGCTAGCATTTCAATATTTCATACAATTTCTTTTGTAACCTATTGAAGGTGTAGGTGTGTTCTCCGCTGCCTGCTTTCATAGCATTTGTGAGGTAGCACAGAACAAGATCGTTTTCTGGATCGAAACGTACTGCCTGACCACCAACTCCCATATGTCCAATCTGCCACGAACCCTAAAAAAATCAGGAATAGCTCAAATTGTACCACACTGTTGCACAATCATGAGATAAGGCTGCATAAGTATTCCCGCTCTCTATTCCTTCGGAAAAGACTCTATCAGACAGTTTTTATACTGGGCCTTTTTCCAGACCTCAACTCACATTACCTGAGCGCAATTACAACAAAACGATTTCGATTCAATGGATCATTTAAGGCAAAGGAGGTAAGAAGTATGAAAACAATTCTTGCAAGGAAAGCGAGACGCTAATCTAAGTTCAAGACAGGAATGGTTTTTTCAAATAGAGAAGATTCCGGCGCAGAGGTTTGCATTTGCTGAGAAGTCCGACCAGCTCTACGCGGTGAACTTTGTGCCTCTTCCATACCCCTCTCGGAAGGCTGTACCACTCGCATACATAGAATATTCATACTGAGTGACGTAGAAGTCTTGTTTCCATGCATAAACGGTCGGTGCACTGGATGAGCGGACCGAGAGATCACTCGACACCTTCCACTTCCAATGACTTGGTTCAAAGGCACAGTCCACGATGAGATTTAAGCTGAAGGCCGTTTCCTATTAAGACGATTCTCTTTCTACGTTTGTCACACGTAGCTATGTCGTGTCGATAAACGGCATGGAAAGGGTGCAATAAGGGCGCAAAGTAGCATACTACTGTAGCCACGCCCAGAGGCAGCCGTGTTTGAATGGTCTTGTAGAATTCTAGGGTCAATCCAGCCCCGTGTAAATGGAGTAGGGTCTGCCGTTGTCCTTACTCGCAAGGCTCGAGCGGTTAGCCCTAAAATGCAAGGAAGCGGACAACTGAGTAGTGAGGCCTGCACACGAGCGGAAAGGAAGGTTTCGAACAAAGGATTATATTACGTGCTTAACCTCTCGTGTATGCGCCGATAAGTTGTAGCTAATGCACTATACTTCAGTGCATGTCTGCTTTTGCGACATGAGGTTCCAGGAGCAGAGTAGTTAAAGCAGAAAAATTGATTGACGTTCTCATCAGTAATCTTTCGTAAAATACTCATCACAACACTGGGTGCAGCTTCAAATCGGACAACGATTTTGAAAACAGCTTGGGTCATGATTTCCAAATACCGATTGTACCAGGTGATTTCCATGCTAATCGATTGAGCCCTGTCTTCCATAGAACGACACAATACTGGGTGTAGGACGGAGCAACGTTCATGTCATGAAAGCCAGCTACGTACATGCTTTTTAGACCGCAACAGTAGTTTCTGATTTTAACATCTCTTCTATCCGGTACAATGCTTTGTAAACTCAATTCGCTGAAGCAGGTGATATCAGGGAACTCGATATTTGCTCCACTAAACAGCAACCAGTAGAGTGACGTACCGTGGGACTTCGTGTGTATATAAAACCATGCCCTTTACTTTGCACTTCTCCAATGGAATGGTCAAGTTCATTCGGAAAGGCAGGTTCGTAAATCATCTGAAAAATAACTCCGCTCTGACTGAGAAAACACCTTCAATTGCTCTTTCAATGAAATCTGTTAACTCTGATCAACTAGTGACCTACCTTCCTCGTTTCTAAGGAGAGGAGCGTTCCATCCATTGCAAGTTGATGGACGAGCGCTAGTCCCCTTGCTGATCCAACGCCGTTGACCGCGGGTTGACCAGCCATACGGGTTTCAGGGTTGTTGTACAACGTGAACAGCTTCAAATAGTCCGACTTTCAGTAAGTTAACGCCTTTCGCTAAGGAAAAATCTATAAAAATAGGTCAGAGTGGAAAATTGGCCGGAGTATAATGTAATGAGCGTCACATGTAGCGCGATTTTTGAACTATCTGTCATTGGTTCTGAAAGTCTTTTTGAGCAATCCCAGCCTTTGCAACCCGCACAAGAGTAATGACAAACAGTGACTGATAAGTTGATTACAACCATCATACAGAGACAACCATAAAACAGGTTGAGTTCACTCGAACTCCTTTTTCCCATCGACAGAGCGACCAGCTAGCTGCAGCATTCACGGCTTATTTTCTGCGATGTACTTTATGAACTGTGAGAACCCTGAGCGGGAACTTTCGACGTCGTAAAAACTACATAGATATGGACAATGTCTGCATCGGAACGCGGAAAAGAATCTGCGGGACCAGAGCTGGAACTTGGCGCTGATAGAAGCTCTTGCTCATTGACATCACAACATACCCGACGATGCTACCCTTCCAACTTTGTCATTACCTCTCTTACTGCTGAAATTCTGATCTTTTATTATGTCGCCAGAACAATCACTGGCTGCAGCACTTGGTCAAGGGAGTTAGAAGCAAAATACAATTGGTATCTTGTGAAGGGCATTTATACCTAGCATAAATTCACGAGTGTACCAAGAAGAAGAGACTGTTACAACACTTACAGTCTTGCCGAACTGTCGCATATTCTTCAGTCCTTTCGCGAAGTAACTACGTGGATCCATCGACCGAGCTGCGATCCATGCGACTTTTCTATCGTAAGCGAACTCCCTACGATAATTCCACATTACCAGCAGGTTAACAAGCAGGAAGCTTGGGGAACTGTATATTGGACAACTGATTTCAACTACCTGACAGCGACGGACATATTAAGGCCAGTCAGACGAGCTATACGGATCTCTTCGGCAGCGCATTCCCCAATGTGGACGTCAACATCTGGAAGGCTAGTTTATTCAGTACTTGTCAATCAAAATAAGCACTAAAGAAGGAGAAAGCCACCAAAAATGGAAGAAGGAAAATGAAGTGTCCATACCAAACGTGGATGTGCTTGAAAACCCAATAAATTGAAAACATTAAAAAGAGAGCATGAAGGAAGCCACAAAACCATCGCAGAGAATGCTCTAGCTGGGAAAACTATTATAGTTAAAGTGACCGCTGGATAATCGACGAATCGAGGCTAAGGAAAGGTATATATATCCTCCGTAGGCACAAAGTCTGTGTACTCAGAGGATCACAAGTGATTAAATATGGAAACTTATTCCAGTATCTACGAAGGCCCTAATCCCCATTTTTCGGCAAAAGGACCCGCTGTTGGGGCTTTAAAAGCCGCTAGTCCAAAACCATTCCACAGGTTTCTATGCTATAAGCAAATCGATTTCTTCGGATAGACATGTAACTTTTTTTGGGAAGACTACAGCGAAGAATAGGCGAGTGCTAAAAAAGCAAATGACTCACGGTGTTTGCTTTCAATTTCTTCGCGGAGAAATTGCCCTATAGTTCGATGATGAGGATCGATGCGACAGAACACCTACTAAGAATGATATGACAACTATGCGATAAACTCGATACCTTTTTTAAATTGCACCCATTATCGAGAAGGAGAATAGCTGCGATGCATACCTGATCTATTAGCCAACCATAAGTCAGGGGATGATACGCGGTCTTCGAGCCGGGAGGATATATCGGAGCTTGCCGTTCAATGATGGTTGCCATTCGTAAAGGATCAGTCAGATCCGCAAATGTCAGTGTCTCTTGGAAATATGGGAGGCCGGCCTGAAATGTCAAGTACATACAATGCAACTCCTGGTTTTTGTCGAACAGATTGGTCAGTTATGGACATGCAAACTGGAAGAAATAGAAAGCACTTTCCCACTAGGGATCATCTAGTTGGCAGAGAACGGCTGGCTTATTGTAATGATCATTGCCATTCCAGTAACCTGCAATCGCCTTATAGTTGCAGCCTACTGTGCCTCAGCAACAATGGATTGACGGGGTTATAATTTCTTGTTATTCCCTTAATTACCTCTCTTGTTATTCTAAGGCCAAGGTCTGTAGGATTTACGGGAATGCTCTCATCGTGGACGAAGGTGATAGTCATTTTCCAGTCTCCTGCGTAAGCAAATTTAAGTATTCCGCGCTTCAGCAAAGAAGAGCTTAGAAGAACAGCGGATTCAATCGCTTAAAGAGACAAAACAAAAACAGAAATTATGTATGAACCATCTCCGGAAGAATAGAACAGAAAATGAGCCTGGTTTATAGATGTGCGCAGCCGATTTTTGTAATGTCTAATGATTTTCCTGTCATTGTTGGGGATCTGAATTCGGACAGTCCTCCAGCAAAAAGAAAACCAAGAGTAAGAAATCAGAACTCGGAAAGGGCCAGTCAATCAGGCAACGACATCCGAGCTTCGAAGTCAGCAAAGACGATGGGGCTTGCTCACTAGCGCAGCAGCGGCAAGCTACATTTGCTGCAGTTCCTTCTGTGATGAAAATCGGCAACGGAGTAAGCGGTGAAAATCAGTTATGGCTAACCTTATGGGCAAGAATCATTTCGATAGTGATGTCACTCTTGCCATTTTGCCCGAATTCCGGCCAATATTGTATGACCTTGTCGTCATAACTGCACAAGCCTCGATCGACCAGCATTGCCACACATATTGCTGCCACGCTCTGGAAAAAAGCTAGGATTTCTTGCAGGAACGTGATTCGGTTCCTGATCTTCTCATAAACCCGGAAGTTACGTTTATTCTAGTGAGTACAGTCATAAAAAATAGGAATAAACTTTCAAAATATTAGGTTGTCGGAAAAGTCTTTGCACCTTTTGCTATTTTTTTCAATTTTATTTTTTTCCTTCACGACAACTAATAATTAACATATATATGCACCTTGACTATCGATAAGGTATTGCCATTTATCAGGCAACTTGTGGTTCCTGCTTGCATAGAATTCCTGTGGTTTCGAAAAGTAGAAGTCATCAATGGACTTCTCGAGTTGATTGACATAATCGAACTTCTTATTTTTCGACATGGTTCGACAGCGACAGGAGCAGGTGATAATTCGTTGGAGCCAGGTCTGTTGAATACGGTGGGTGGGCCAGAACATGCCATCTCAAGGTTTGAAGCTTTTTCTGAGCCTCCTTCGAAAAGTGTGGACGAGCACTATCGTGGAGAAAATAGACTTTCCTCAGTTTCTCTCCTAGAGCTGCAGCAATCCGGTCCACAAAGCACACTAGGTTCAGTGCCGGCAGCGGAGTTTTCTGGTAGAACGTTTCAGTGAACGATCCTTTCAAATGGCTTCAAACGCTTGGCATTGCCTTCTGAGGTAGGAATTTTGGGTTGGAGGTCGGGATTCCGTGCTCTACGCATCCAAGCCACTGGCGTGGATGCGTAGAGCATGGAATCGTGTGGTTTAAGTAGAGAACACACTTTTCTTTACCAGTGATTAAGTCTTCCAGCCATGCGAAGGTGCGTCGGAAAGTCATCAAGTTCAGGCACGAATCCCTCATCATTTGGAGGTGGTGGCCACCCAGACCATAACTTAACCATATCTCCGAATCTCCATGTCTTTCCGAGGCGATGCAAATGGACAGCTGCTGTGTCGTGATGGCTATGAGCTCCTGTTTCAGCTGACGAGTACTACACTTGGAATCCTCTTCAACCACATCCAGGAAGTGGTCGTCACTCAGGTAAGTTGGTATCCCAGACAGTGTTTTTTCGGTCTAGTCAAATGGCCATTTTTGAACTTGTTGTACCAACTTCTTGTTGTGCTGTTAGAGACAATAGATGGTCCTATCGGATCGCATATTTCCCCTGTCGCTCAATTTGGATTAACATTTTTTTCTGAACCTATAAAGTAAATGCAGTCTGACGCGCTTTGGGTCGAGAGCGATTCTTGCAGCCATAACCGTTGCGAAATGCTGCGGTAGATATGGTGTGGAGAGCGCATNGACCTGTACTTACTAATATTCCGCAGTGAAGGCTCTAGAGCAATCCCCAAAATTTCACAACATGGAAACCAAAATACGCAAATACTTTTCCGACAACTTAATTACAATTGTTCCCATGAGGCCTTTTGGGTTAGGAGCTGTTCAGAAAGTGGTACCAGCTTGGCTTCTCGCTATTTTTAGAGGTTTTAGCAAAAAATAGCGGAGGCGAGTTGCTTTACCAGTAAATATTAAGAAAAAAACTGGCGTACTTTTGTGCAGCTGAAAATCATTGTGATCGTGTCTTCGTTCCACAGACGATTACACGACTTGTCGGCATATCCTCCCCAAAGATCCACAATAAGCTTTCCTTTGTGATAGGCAGCAAATGTTGCACCTCCTTTTTCCCAGCACTCCGTGAAATTCCGTCTGAAACCTCATCATTTCAATGAAGTTCAGCTTCGTTAATGACATGGACTACAGCATCGTACGAATGTCCTACTTAAATTTTTCTGAGAGGAACTCCTGGGTTTTCTCTTTGAGAAATACCCTTCAATCCAACACAAAGATGGCCCACATTCGAAATTACATAGCATATTTTGATGGAGATAAGCCTATAGTGAAATTTTCTTAGATAACTTTACAGGAGCATCATTACAGCAACTGTGAACCGTCTTACTACAGATTTTGATAGAAGGGAATTATCCGTTTTCCCTAACTTCCCAGAAAAACTCATCAAAGTTACGAATCGCCCGAATAAGCTACCTCGAATTTGCACGGCTACTCCAACAGGCCCTTCACGAAGAGAGCGTCCGGCAAATAGCATTGCCGCCATTGATCAACGGTAACTGTCTGAGTTTACTCTCCCAAACCACACTCACTATGCTTTCGGGAGTCATAGTCACTTCCCCACATAGCTGGCAATGATTGCATCTTGTAAAGAGAGCTCCTGCGCTTTTTTCGAGATTTGTCCAAGTTTCCGTCCTTGTGCCAGTTTACCAACGAATGCGTTGACCAGGGTATCGTCCGAATTCCATCTGATTATCTTGAACGGCTACGCAGTGGTTGTGTGTAGTAACACAAAAAGTTACATCTATACTATGCCAAGAATAAACGATAGTCGAACTTGGTTGCTGTTAACACAAAAGGATTTTATCGCTTGTGTCTATTTGGGCCTGCTCAGTGGAACCCTCGAGAGGGTTTCGTGATTCAAAAATCGCCCCAGCCAAGATCGCGTCCCGAAAGCCACCGCATTTATCACCCGGCTACCATACTTCTTTCGGGCATGATAATTTACGCTGGCGACTCCTCCAGTTACCATCCAGTGCCCTTTGGCATCATCCCGTTTGTGGTGGAAGAAGCTGTTGATATGTAGTGCCTACAAGAGAGAATGAGACCATTGACGTGCAAGATCTTTTATGTAAGGTACAGAAAGATTGAGTCGCCAAAGCGCATGCCAACGTGTTCGTCTCCTGCCATTTGTTTCTTAAAGATCCTCGCATCCAGATCCGGATATGCGCACCAGACGCTCTGTTTTCCGATTCGATATTTGCGAAGTATGGCGCATCTTTTCAACGCTTCTTTGTCGCATTCAATTCTATGAACGACGGTAAGAGGACCCTTATGGCCGCGGCCACCATTCCTATCTGGGCAGTATTTTGGTTCCGATTCGGCTTATTGTCAATGGTGTGGCCTCTTAGTGTTATTTGACCAACCACCGTCATTCGTTCATTGGCAGAATGCAACTGTGCGAGCATTCCCTCGTGAAGCTGATCTCGCAACGACAACCTACAACCATGATTTGGTGATTGACTGATACCAAGTGATAAACCTGTAATAAACTAGCGCAGCGTCACTGATTTCATTAGTTATACGTCCCACAATTTTCCAAAACACATCGGAAACAATTTTTAGCTGTGCCTTTTCCCAATGTTACACATTACCGTGTACCGGAATAAATAGGCGATGGATGGCTGAGACGCTGATTGAAAGGAAACGTGATCATGTTTAAAATTTTCACTGCTAATAATTTCACATTGGTTGGGGTCAAACGGCAATAACTCATAGCAAGCATTGATACCTGAACGATTCCTGAACTGGTTTGAAACGTTCGTCAACGGTCCCGTCAACATGCACCGTCTTCATCTGAAACACGTTCACTACATATTGAAATCAAAAACCATGAGGCGATCAGCCAGAGCATCTTCAAGCCAGACAGATGAACCGATTTCCAATGAAAATTCTATGTTTTTCTAGTGTTGTCATTTCGATAGGGCTTAGGTGGTGTGATGTCAAGTGGCGCACTATCTCACACGCCTGGTTGCGGGTTCGAATCCCGGATCGATATCCGCCTAGACGAATGAAGCCTTTCATCCCCCCGGCGTTGGTTTATCGGTACCAGACTCGTCTGGCAGGACAGAAGTACTGACTTATACATCAGCTGGCCACAGAAAGTCATTGTGAATAGGCTAGGCTTTTATTACGCCACTACAATCCAAGACTACACTGATCAACGCCAAGAGACGACTTTTGATATTCCGATCAAGGTTGGAGAAATGAAGTGGCGAGAGGCGCAATTTCGCTGACGCGATTTATGGATCGTACACAATGACTGATCCAACCAACTTATTGATCCACTGATTCGTCTTCATTGAATGCCTTATCTCTGAATTCTGATTGAAAAGTTGAGAAAAGGTGAAGGTCGCCCTGTTGCTACCAATGCCATCGTACTCCATAGTCAAGTGAATGTTCAGTTTCTTTTTTTATAGACCTACTTTCATTTGATCTTTAGACTAGTATCAACGATGTTTGCTTTCCTTCAACGAAAAAATGTTTGTTTAGGATGATCTCGCTACAGTACTATGACAACGTTCTCATGGCTATTAGCCTTTCACAGCAGTTTTCATTTTTTATTTGAAACGATATTTCCTCAAAACTCCCTGTAAACTAACTGAAGTAGCGACGAGTCAAACTGGTTATATTAGTAGAGGTAGGGATCCAGAGGCCGAATTAATTAAAAAAAGGGGCATAGAACCTGTCCTCCTTGATTTATAAAACCAAAAGGGAATTCTTGATTGTTACACATAGCTACACATTCCTCAGCGAACTGGTTGCACCAAAAGCAGTAGTCCCAATATCTCGTTCTACAATGAATCCGAAATGTCTATGGTTGTACTTAAGGCTGTAGAGAAGAAATTAGGCAGAGAACCCTCTTATTTCAAAGACAAGAGCAGACATTGAGAGAATAATTTTCAGTAAAGTACAAGAGATGCGAGCAAGTACATGTGGGTGATACCAAAAACCTCTCAACCCAAAAGTACATTGAACCCCGAACAGCGAAGGCTTTGACGGTCGTTCCACTTGTACATATATCAAACAGGGAGTCACGTCTGCGAACCACATTTCCTGACGTTCGCCATGGAAGTATTACATCGTCTAGTAGACCGATTAATATCGATAAAGAAATGAATAGAGTTGGGAACAGTGTAGCCTGTCCTGTCGTATTAAGCGACTGACACACAAAATTACAAGGAAAACCGATGAAAGTGACATTTTTTGCTCATCCAAATTTAGGACATCCAAGGGTGTGCCATGTAATGTAAAAGTAAAATTCTACGCCAATGATCCTATACAGAATACTAGGAAAAGAAGAAAAAACATAAAAAAAGCCGGAAAGAAGACAAAATTGAGTCTGAAAAAGGAAAAAGGAAAAGAACAAGCAGAAGGGGAAAAGTGGATAGAAAGCGAGATAGACAGGCCTATGAAGGGCATTCAGTGGATCATTACAGAAACTGTAGCGTAACAGGGGCGTACTATACCAATTGTAAGAAGTCGTTAGATATTGCAAAATGGATAGTGCACCATTGAATCTATTACGGCTAGTAATTGATGATGACCACGTCCATGTTAATATATTAAAAAAAGGCATTCCTAGTTCAATATACATAATGATCAAGAATACTTGAGGACAAAGAAAGCTAGGATCATCTTACACCAAAAGAAGACCCCTCGGAAGAGACAATGCACGTTTTTCATCGTCCTAGCCAGCATTTCGGGTTCTTGGTTAAAGTGGGACTCACTCGTCTTTTAATCTGAAGTCGGCACTAACATCATATTGCAAAAGGTAATGAGAACAAGCTCTTTGCAAACTCGGCTTCATGCTCGCAAGGGTGGTGGGCCTCTTTAGTAGAATAGCAGGTATAGAATGGGTGACCCCGATCGGAACAGGATTGCGAGAAAATCATTTGAATTTTGCGCGATAGGAACACTTTCAAAGGTTACAGGAACTCACTAATATTGAATTATCAACGTTTGCGATGAGGTAAATTGAATTAAATTGGAAAATCAGCCAGTTAGAGAATTAGTAAATTCGCTGAGAATTCTTTCAAAAGGAAAACGGTGAATTCGTGAAACTCATGCCAGTGAATACATCGCATATAAGAGCCAAGTACATCGTCGTCGCTTTGCTGACCTCGCCGTCGCCTTCAAGGTCACCTACTTTGAATAATAGGGAATTAATTCGACAGGGAGGAATTATTTCTGAAGTGACACTTGACAAGCTTACTGAGAAGATAACGCTTCAATATGAATGGGAAAATGTTGAAATAGGGTGACGAAAGGGGGACGGTTTAGTGTTGGAAGACTCTTTATCATGTTACGCATGCCCACAATAACAGAGAACCTGTCCGCGACGGGTTCGTGTTATGTGAGAAGATCAGGGATATTTCAGAGATGCAATTATTCTGAATCACTCTGTAGATTCGGTCCTTAAGAAGAACTTAGCTTGTCTTAAAGGCACAGTTCACGATAAAATGGTTTCCGAGATTTTTTTTGTAGTATGAATTCGAGGCTCCCCTTAAACCATACCTGTCGTTATAAGGGCGGAAAACTTCCTGGATAGGGCACAATAAGGGGCCAGAGATTGTATCGTGTGAATGCCACACCCCTAGTGAACCAGTTTCAACGGCTTTGTAGAGGCTGCACATTTATAAGGGAATCAATGTAGGAAATTCAAACAATTTGTCATGACTCATAGCGACAGTGAAAGGCAATTCTGGACGGTTATGGTTTGATGTGGTCAGGTGGGGAGGGGAGCAGGGGGCAAGTTAAATCTCGTCTAAAAACCCCTTACATGCTATTTCTGTCACGGTGATCTCGTACACTCCACTTGCACTTCTCTTAGAAAGCTAGAATCAGGCGGATTTCTCACTTTCTTCGCCACCGAGGTACTCCCCTACATCAACACTTCCACTTTTCTACCTAAAAAGCGCACATCGGAATGATCGTGAACAGTGCCTTTAAGTCGCACCATTGATGTGTAGACATTCTGTGGCCAAAGCAGAACAGGGTTAGAACGCAATGTATTTGAATAAGTGAAACTGACGCGATGATAACAGGAGGCTCGGCTCCCCACTTATAGGGTCAACATACCAATTTTCTATTCCAAATTGTTCACTGAACATACCTAGATTCAATCCAAAGAATTGTACAGGCTCGCGCTGACTACCCTTGGGTATACGGATAACGCACGACGACATTCTCCTCCGACGCAAGGGATCCCGAATTTTCCGCGGAAAGCACAGAATCGATTTTTGTCTTGTTATTTTATAAGCCACTTCAAAATGAAATTTCACATGTTGAATGTAGCTCCACAGCAGTCCTCAAGCTACCGAAGAAAAGTGGAATGCTTGACTCCGAAGCATATTCTCACGTAGGAAGGCTATTTGCTATTTTGTCCTAGGCCGGGAAAATAGCCGTGGAATCGGTGAACAATCTCGTGCTCCTCTTAGCAAAATTTCGTAATCGATGTGACCATTTAGTGCTCGACATGTCCTCGTGAAAAGACCGCCTTTTATTTTCTTAGCGGAGCAAATTACACAGCTGTAAGGTGTACTGTTCTCAATAACAATCTGCTAGGCAGTGATCGAGAGGCCATTCCAAAATGACTGTATTGATTTGTTACCACTTTTTGCCAATACCCACTTCTCTGGTGAAACTCCCAGGTCCAGTGGTTCGGATCAAGTGACCGACACACAGCATAGCGCAGTGTTAAAATGGATAGTAGCCAATTATATGGCAGAATAATAGACCTCTGACAACAGGTCATTACTCAATTTTCGATGTCTGTTCCCTTCAGGGCGGTGATATTTTCCGTGCGCGNTCTTATCCCCCACTCCTTGCGCCAATCAGTGGAATAGCACGCTGCCGTGTGGGATTTTAGAGTTCAACCTGGTAAGAATGGACAGAAAATGAAAACAAAAAGAAGTGAATTATTAGTGGTTATCTCTGAATCACTGCATAGCATTTGTTTGAAAAAAAATCGAACAGTACCTGTTACAGCTATTTAATCCACTTTTGAATGTTCATAAGAATATGTCGCCTGCTGAAAGTGAGGGTTACACAGCAGAGGAGGTGTCTTGAATCATGTCATCCATCTAATTTCTGCAGACCCTGACTGTAGGTTGGGATCCTCCATTAATTTCAACGCTATGTTGCCGGACTAGATAAAATCTCTCTATTTGTAGAGCGGTACGTTTGTGTGTCCGTTTGTACGTCCGTTTGTTTGACCTTCCGAAAGTCACGTTAGCACGATGAAGAGTTTGAAATGACACGTGAGCGCGATGAGGAAACAATTATGAATTATGAAGTCAATCGATACTCTTTATATTGGTACTCTAACAAGTCGTAGGTAAGCGTTAGTGGGCATGTGGCTGCCTCCATAGTCCGTCGGCGCACGAGCGAGCCGGCGCGCCGGCTGACGTAAAACGAATTAGTTCGTACGTTAGAAACTTACGTCTGTTGCATTTCACTTCACGGTTAGATTCTTTACGGTCGAGTTCTGACCGCGAAATAAGATGCAACAGACGTAGATTTCTTACATACGAACTAATTCGTTTTACGACAGCCGGCGCGCCGGCGGACCATGAAAGCAGCCTGTGATGCCCGTGTTTGCGTGCGTTGCCCAACTGGTTGATGCATAAATCAGGGCCGAAGTATACAAATTGGAAATAGTAGACGTAGAGCTTCTTCTGGTGGCGTGATCCTCAGACATGGTTGTGCCTCGATTGAAGGAAAGACTTCTTTGGTACTACCATTTATTTCTGATGAGGTCAGTGCCTCCATTAGAAGTGTCTAAAGACTGTACTGCTCTTTATACTGCTTGGGGAGTCACCGAATTCAAAAGCATAACGGAGGCGCTTTTTAGATCACCGTGGAGGTCGTAGCACAGGAGTCACAATTGTGCGCGCGTAAAACACTCGAGGCATTTTGGATACAGGACACCAATCCCAAAATGAATCGTAGGGAAGAATGCCTCGCAATCACGCGGGAGCTACGGCCTTATATAAGATTGGCTTTCTCGGAGAGACTTTAATGAGTACGTATCACAGCTGACACTGGTCGGTTGGCACCATCACTCGCTGGGTGGTTTCGAAGATTCCACTAAGTTACGGTGAGTGATTCTCCTTTCGATCATCTGCGTGCCCTGGGGGTCTCGAACTTAGTGGGTTGGTGGAGACGTTTGATCGGATAGTCACAGACTGTTATGATCCTTTCAGGCTCTGAAGAAGGCGATTCCGCCGAAACGTCAGCTTAATAAAGGATATTTGCAAACCTCGTGAAGAGTTCAAGACATCAATAAACGCAGTAATATAATTATGCCGAGGTTCATAGAAAGCCGTACATGGAACTGATTGGAAACGTTGTACGCTGAGAATCCTGTAAGAGGTTCGCACAGTCAGACATCTCTGATGAGCGCCTGGGCTTTGCCTTAGCCCACTGATGTCCATGATGTTTTGCGGGAAAAGTGCCGCGCGGAACCGGCGCTTTTCAACTGTCCGCGAATGCAGTCCACATATGGACTGCATGGTCCACCAGGCTATTTTTTGGATTTTGAGACGGGGATTTTTGAATTTTACTGAATTTACAAATTTAGATTATGGCTAACGGTGATGGTATACAGAACTTGGATTTAAACCAGCTACTGATCGATTCCAATGAGGAGTAGACAGAGGATGAGGATGATGTAGCTTATGCACTTTCTTCAGCATCAGGAACAGAATCTGATACGAGCAACTCGGAGGATGAAGGTAGTGTGGTAACTCGGAGGATGAAGGTAGTGTGGATTCTTGGTCTAGTGAAATTGAAGAATATGATAGATTCACTTTCGATGACGACTACGGAGTACATGATGATGCCTTCAGTTGTGGAGAACCAATCGGTTTCTTCAAATTATTCTTGGACGACGACATTATGTATTTGATCACTGCAGAAACCAACAAGTATGGCAATGCAAAGCTGCCGCAGTTGGGAAAACGTTCACTGAAACCGACAACAAAGAAATGTACGTTTTCTGAAATGTGCCTTCATATGGGCTTGACGAAATTGCCCACATTGAGAGACTATTGGTCTTCAGGGGTGGCACTCGATGGTCATTCAATTATGAGCTCGATCATGACCAGAAGACGTTTCGAGGGGCTTCTACGATTTCTGCATCTGGTCGATAACAGTGAAAATGCTAATGGGGATCGTCTTTTCAACATATCTCATTTATTTGGAGCTGTTGAACGAGCGATGCATGAGGTACTGCGAAGCGTCTGTATCGATTAGTCTCTACTTCCCCTCAGAGGAAGAATTCACTTCAGGCAATATGCCCTCCGAAAAGGCACCGGTATGGTATCAAACTTTTCAAACTTAGAATCTTCACAGAAGAGATCTTCACAGAAATGGGCCGTTAGCAGAATCGGTAGTACTCGAGCTGATGGAAGGGTTCCCGTAGTAGGGAAGAGTACTATGTACGGACAACTCTCATTCAAGTGTAGGTCTCGCCGAAAAACTGCTGGCGAGGGAGACCGACCTGATTGGTACACTGGGACGAAATCGTTAAGGCTTACCAAAAATGATCAAGGACAGAAAGCTGAAAAAACGTGAAATTTTCGCCTTACAAAACCAAAAACGAATCGTGGCATTGAAATGGAAGGAGAAGCGCTAAATTCTCTTGATTTCTACGAGGAACGATGCCAGCTTTGGAGAGAACATGAAACCAGTAGTGGTTAACGACTACATACTATGAAGGGTTATGTTGATCAGTCGGGCCAAATGGCCGCTTATACCCCGTTCGTAAGGAAAACATTTGGATCATTTCCTTTCATTTGATCATCCAAACAGCCGTTGTCAATGGGTGGAAGCCGTAGAAGGACTTAGCGGGACAAAACAAAATCAACGATTCCAAGGGAAAGGTTGTTGAGTCAATTTTGACAGCCGACGCTTCTCTTACTAGTTCTTCGACGTCAATGACGCATAATTTAGAGAAAGTGAAGGGGCCTAAAGTTCAAATAAGGAGGAGGTGCTCGAAGTGCTATACAAAGTTCTGCCAAACCGGGTGTCATTACGCTTTAACCCTCACAAAAAGAGTAAATTCTCGCTGCAGTAAATGCCACCGTTATTTCTGCACTGATTGTTTCAATAAATCACAAAACTAGAAAATTTTCTAGGAGCACGCTGTGTGTAGTTTTGTTTAGACTCGATGTAGTGTTTTGAGAAGAGAAACTGTAAAAAAAAATGAAAATAGAGCGCGACTGTATAGCGCCAAAGACTTCTGATCTGATGCTGGTTCGGGGTCTGAGCTCGAGAAAAATTTGTCGGATCCACTTTTGTCGGATGTGAAATTCCACCCATTGGGCTGAAATAATAAGGCAGTTAGTGCGTGTGACCTTCACAATGACTTGCGGCGGCCAGCCGATGTACAAATCAGTGTTTTTATCCTCCCGCACGAATCTGGTACCGATTTAGTGATCTGAGAGAGACGAAAAGCTCGGCTGGCCCGGGTGGGTATCGATCGGGCATTCGGACCAAAGAGCATGCGTGGGAGATAGTATGTCTTTTGCCACCCCATCTGGTCAGTCCATCTTTGAGGTTAGTTCACTCTGCTATTGCTTCCAGAGTTGTGTGACAAGGGTGGAATTAACAAGGTGGAATGCCATAATGGTGGATACCCTCATCCACTCAACTGCTCCCAGTGCGTCTGTCAGCGATGAGAGGGTATGCAAATGCTTTATTGGGTGATTACGAAAACTAGTTATTATTATTTCGGCCCAATGGGTGGAATTTCACATCCGACAGAAGTGGAGAATCAACAGAAGATGCGGGCAAACATTTGATGCTTCGACGGAGTGGCAAAATCCTAGGAGACTATGCCAAATCCCACGGAAATTACGCGATGTGCTACTAATGGATTCAAGTACGCTGCGAGATTCTCGCCATTTGAAAGTATTGGCTCTTCGAATGAAAATCAGATATATTAGGCAACGACCAACTAGCTTTGGAACCGATATTGTTTCCAGATACTATGACCATTTACTTTTCAGCCTCCTAAAAATACCGAAATTGAAGTAGAGCTCGTAAGCTCTTCCGATGAACATGCTCTCGTGGGCTGTCCAAACGCTGGTGTAGAAATCAAGACAAACAGGAATCAGCAGCTTACTTGTTATAGGTGTTGTTTTCGTGAAAATATGTGCACTGTTAACTAGTCTTATTCCAACAACTGCTTTTTAATTTCTTGTTTAGGTTCTGTTCTCCTAGCGACGCAGGGACCAAACTCCGTTCTTATACCAATCGGGTTCCAATAATAACATGGAATAGGGCTTATATATCACAAACGGTTTTACGATACAGACATGGTAATGCAACAGTGGATTGTGCCTGAGTTTATTCCAGCTTCATTGAACTGCTTTATTTTCAAAGTACGAACCTCGACCGATTACAGTAAGGCCAACGACCCGTAGCACCACATGACCTACGCCCACCACTATTGCTACTACCACCCATGCTGTCGAAGAGCAACAGAAGTGCGAGGATCGCCCAGAGTAAGAAAAGGACTTTGTAATAAGATTCACTGAAAGATAATTCCTATGATTTCTAGATGCCCACAACACATTGCGAACGGATTCTGCTATCGTGAGGGTATCACGCATGAGCAAAGGAAGGCTTACTGTCCACGGGGATGTCGGTTATGCGATGAATGAAATTGTCTCATCAATAAATGCTTGATAATACTTAGCTTCGCGCTCTCGTAGAGACTATTTTTCAAAAATATGAACAGTTTTTCGAAACTTGAAAACAATTTGCCCCACTTATTTTGCTGAAAAACAAAGGGGTGACCCACATGAAGTGTGACGCAGAAAACTAGCATCAAAATTATACAAATCAAACCAAGTAGGATACATTTACTCGTATACAATCATCACAAAATTGTCAACAACATATCACATTTCGCATGCAGAATGACCATAGTTAGCTTTAATGCAAGCATCGAACCTCTTTCGGAAGTTTTCAAGAATGCACGCGATCGCTTTCATTCCCCGCTTCTACAAGAGAGCTTTTTGCAGAGGGTCCAAAGACCTGCGTTTAAAAGCAGACGCTTTTTGCTCCAGAATCGTTGATAAAGCAAAATCCACAGGATTGAGATCGAGGAATTTGAAGGTCAAACCTGCTCCGCCCTAAAAACCTGGAAGCGCCGTTTCACAACAATGCTGCATCTTCTTTGCGCTGTGGGCTGGTGCCCAGTCCTGGAAAAGGTTTAGCTGACGTTCATCGCGTTTTTTTTCGCCCAGGGAATCACCGCATCCTCCAGCCCAGAAGCCCATAAGTTGATTTTTTTACAGCCCGTCACACTTCATGTGGGTCACCCTAGCGGTAATTTTGTATGTCTATTTGTTTGTCGGTTTGTGCGTCTTCCAAAAGTTCGGCAGGCCCGCGCCGGCCTGGGGTCTAGGTCTGCGGTATAGGTCAAGATTCATTTATAAACAAGGGCAAGCGTCGCCCCGGCCGGCGAACTATGAAAGCAGCCAACCGATACTATTTATACTGGCCCTCCACCAAGTAGTAGTTAAGCGGAAGTAGGCAAGGCATGGTGCACGCGTTAGCGTGCATAGCCCAACAGGTAGCCCCGTAATTTGTGAATATGCTTCCGCAACGAGTTTTTCCGAATGAACCCTTCATGTAGTTAAGAACCACCTTGTAGAGCTTAAGAGCTAAAAGCCATATCCGACCGAGAAAATCTTCATTTCGCATTAAATTATGGCATAAGAGAGAAAAACGTAAATATGTGTTCCAGATCGTTCACGAGGATAATAACGAATCACTTTTCCTGGAGTGATTGTTAAGACCATACAATCATAGGGTACTCAATCCCTTCAGTTGACCACCATTTCCGAATTTCGAGATCCGTCCCAAGCAGCCAGAAATAAAATTTTAGTTGTAACCTACTGCTCCGATTAAAGCGCTGATAAGTTAACAAAATGGAAATTAACAAGCATTTTCTTATTTCATTCTTCTATTCTATACTCGTTTCTGACCGGAAATTACACTCAACAAAGCTCTACTCTTTCTTTGAAGGTTTGAACTCTGTTTTTAGTGATGTATCAATGAACGACCTGCTCTTCTCTAAAGCGTAAATTGGTCAAAGAACCATTTATTGATATGGGTTTGACTTGAAAGGGGCACTACATAGTACAGTAAAGTTCAAAGTTTGAAGAAACGTTGGAAGTCCGGTCCTCACGGGTGACAGCACTTCTTTCCAAATTCCCACGGCAAGCGGCAATTATTCTGCTACAGCTACCATATCCTTCCATTGAGAATTCAAATCATCTCCTTAAGAGCGCGCGATCGGATGCGGAGAGCGCAATGAGATTTTCGGGAAAAGTTACCACACCCAGCCCTCGTTGCCTACCGTTAATCAAAGATTTTTCTGACGGGAAAAGAGAACAGCATGTAATTTACGCCCATATTTATTTGTTAGTCATATTACAGTTATAGAAAATGGACAGCTCGAGCGCAATGTGAAATCCTTGTTTACATAGCAGTAGACTTGGAAGAGAGCAACCTAAAGCATATTTTGCCTCAAGGTACAGCTCACGACAGTTCGGAGGTACCCCTTCCAAGTTTAAAAGAGGAAGAGTTGCTGTGGAGTAGTGCCTCGATGGCGAAGAAAGCGAGGGAATCCGCCTATTTCGCAAGAAATAAGGCTCTCCAAAAAAGTGGAGATTGAGGTTGTATGTGATTACCATGACGAAAATAACGTGGAAGAGGTACTCGTCATGACTTGTGGCGACAGTGAATGCGAGAGGAATCATGATGACTTATTCAAATCTGCAACATGGGAGTCCCCCGAGATAGTGCAACTTCTGCAACGCCGTTGAGACTCGTCCGCCATGGGTGCGGCATTCACACGATACAATTTCTGGCCCCTTATTGTGCCCTTTCCAGGACGTTTCTTGATCTGACATCGGCACATATGGTAGCAGGAGGGGCCTCGAATTCATCCTATGTGGAAATCTCAGTGTTAGGAGGAGAGTCAGTGAACCGTTGTTTTGATCTACGATTTACAATGATCTAGCTTTAAGGTTGACTACCCATCCTCCACTGTCCTCAAGCCTGAGTGTAGAACAAGAGCGAGGCTCCCTCCCCCTAACTACGTCGACTAGTTATATACATAAACCGCGCTAACAAGGAAGGTCTTTCAGGGCAGGGGACGCTTTTTGAAAGTGGTTTTTTGCATGGTATAGGGGCATGAGCACTGAGTATAAAACTATG